GGACACCGGAGCGGCCCGTGATGCTCCGAGCACGGGCACCGCAGCGGGGGTAAGCAGTCAACAGATTCAGGGCTGGGGTGCAAGGTGGGGAAACGTCTAGACAGTAAGGAAGAGGGGTGGAAAGAAAAAAACGCATGGGTTTAAATTTGGGAGAGGAAGGGGTCTGAGACCCCACACAGGAAATCTTAAGCAAATGGTAACTGAGATCTTGGAGTGGTCTGAAGCCTGGGAACGGCCGGTTGATGGGAATCCCTCTGCCAGGTTCAGATTTACAAACTCTGGCAACTGCTATGGGCTATTTTTTGCCGGAGGGGAGTTTTGTAAAGGGAACTCCCTTTTCCAGTGGTTTACCAGAACTCCAAGATGATGTAAGGGACGGATCAATCCTCCAGCAGAGAAATACTCATTGACTAACTGGACCTGTCCCCCCTTTGACTATTTGGCCGATATCTTCACACGATTACCCAGTCCATAAATGGCCACCAAGCATTAACAACATCTCTAACACACAATTCTGTTTCTTTCACTAGAAGAGAGGCAGAACATACTGTGAAGCAAGACGAGGTCTGCGCAAGGACACGCTCTGGCTGCGCTTCCACTGTTTGTTCTTGCGGCGGTTTCGAACACCATCTTCCTGGTCCATCATCTGATCCAAAAGCGTCAGGTCATCGGCGTTGAGCGGTGCCACAGAGATGTCCCGCACGGCACGGAACTCACCACAGTTGTTCAGGTGCTCGTTCTCCAGACGGAAGAAGTTCCACACAAACCGCCTGGGTGGAGAAAAGTGAAAATTTGTTTTTTGTGAATCAATTTGGTTCCACTTTTACAGGCGTTGCCCGTGTTTGGCAAAGCATTGGTACGTGTACCTAGATACCACTGAGCAAAGTGCCTCTGGGAACGCGGTGGGAGTACGGAGAAACAGCAAGTGACTGTAACAGCAGCGCCTACTACAACATCTTCCCAACCCACTGGAGAAGAACAGATTTGTCAGGTTCCATTCATCGTCCTAACAATGACAGCCCTAGTCTGGACAGCGTGGAGGCAAGCAGGCGTTACGAGCGAAACGCAACCTCCGTCATCTACATGAGTGAGGTTCAGCTTCAAGGGTTTTTACTCATCTGGAGAAGTTGTGGGGGTAGGTCTCCAGCTAGAGTAAGCGTGTTAAGAGCCCTGAAACCTTGCAGGATCCAAATTAGTGTTTGGAAAAGCAGCAGAGATTTGAGAATAGTTGTAAACCTGAAAATGAAGTGAAATTTCACCTGGCAATTTCAGCAAGGTAATTTTAAGGAGAAATTTAGTAATAACAAAACTCTCAAGATTAGGTGTAGGTTCAGAAGAAACTGCAAACGCAGCACGAAGGACCCAGCCTCGCATTGCTGCAGAGCCCTCTACAGCTTTCTTCACTCAGCACCATTTTTTGGATTAAATGTTCCTGTTAGACCTAGTCTTCCATTTCAAGGACTTCCATGTCCGAGGAGCAAGGCACTTCCCACCGCACTGACGTTATAGAAGTAATAAAAATGTAAAAGAGAAATTAACTGTTCAGTCAAGCAGCCTTACCGGAATACCTCAAGTGGGGCAAATACAGTAGAAATGATGTCCCCAGCGTACGGAAAGATTTGCATGGAAGTGAGGGAGATCTGGATGGTCCATGCAAAACGCAGGATCACATCTTCTACGATGGCACAATAGTAGTATGCCTGAAGAACAAGACAGACAAACAGGACAGCTCATCGTACGTGTTCTGCACAGAAGACAGACCTCTTCAGGCCTTCAGGAAGATACAGAATTTGCTACTCAACCACGAGAAAAGGGAACGGTACGAAATGATCTCTTAGAAACAAATGAACTCTACAACCAGAAAATCCCAGCACAAAGCATTCCAGTGCCCAACTATAGCATGCTTTAAACTCAACAAATTTTGTTAAAATATTAAAAACCTTCGCTAATATAAGAGCAAGTTGTATACACACTTTCTGTGGGTAGACGATTCCTTCTCGAAGAAAGGTATTTTCACCAGCGTTTTTGTCAAAGAGACCCCAGTCCATCTTCAGGTCCCAAATAAGGGTATAGCAAGAGCTGATGAAATAGAAGATAATCCACAGGTAGAAGAACACTTGGGTGTCACTGTGGTTTTTAGCTGCAAAAGAGAAGAACAGCATCCTTCTGTATAACTTAAAGCTGATTGCTTCTTAAAACAGCTACAAATTGGCTGCCTTGACCAATGGAAATAACACCCCTTCTATTCAAGTGCTTGGGAAAATCAGGCTAGCTAGTCTGAACTAAACCAAAAGCCTTATCGGGACCAGCTTTATATTGTCATTTAAATTCCATTTTCATCTCGTTCAACGTTTCGCACTTGGGATTGAAATTTGCACTAATGGTTTTTTTTGCAACTTGTGGTAGACCTGCCGTTCTAACTCTGAACAGCAGATGGAAGCTGAGGGCCATAGTTCACAAAAGACACCGGCTGGTACAAAGGAAAAAGCAATGAGGCAGTGCTCAGTTAACAGGGCTTCGTAAGAGAATATTTTAGTTTGAAACAACTGTGAATTAGTGCACTAAAGGCCCAAAAGAGGATGGGTGGTACAGGAATTTCCACTAGCCATTTCAGAGGTTGCGGTGGCAGGGCAAAACAAGCGAAAAGAAGGCAATACATTAACAAGTGTGTACAAATGCTGAAGAAGGCTCAGTACAGAGCTTTAAATGCCCTTACAGAGCTCCTCTTTGTGAAACACAGGACTGTGGGACCAAAGTCTGCTCGCTTGTGGATATGTTTTTGCAACTAAGTTGTTTCCCATTCTCCCCCGAAGAGGTTACGCTGCTCTCTGAAATCAGCTAAACTTCCCCACATCAGTCAGCCGCGTAAAAACAAACGGATCTGATAATTCTGTTTGCTTTCAATTAGCAAATCTGGGTCACAAAGTTCATAAAAATAACACAGATCATAATGCTTTGCCAGGCTGAGACACTTCGCATCTCCCTGCTGTCAGGAGTCTTTCCTCCCTCCGGGCAGCCACTGTAATTGCTCATTCACTGATTCTTTCTAACAAAGCCAGTAACACTTTAGTACAAAAAAGCCATAATGTTTCCAGTCCAAACCTGATGCCACGCTAAGTGACAGCACTGTTTTCCATATATGTGGCTTTAAAACAACAGAATCCCCGAAGCTGATCACAGAGGGAGCAACAAGGCAATTTGTTCTCTCCTTCCCTTTTTGTTTATAACGTTTACGATATAAATGCAATGCAGCAATCCAATAAAATTAATGGAGGTGAAAATGAGAGGCATCGTGTAAGGGTACATTCCTCCCATTACGCCTTTCAGGCTTCCTGGACATGATGTGCAGGATATAGGTCAAATACACACACTCATTCTCCTTTCAAAACACCCCCCCAAAGCAAACCTATTAAAGGCACTTATGCAGCAAAGCTATCCGCAGCGAGGCTTCACGTCGGCGGAGGGAAAGGACACGAGATCTGCGGCAGCTCTCAGGTTTGCCTAGCTTCCCCGCTCTTGGGCAAGGTTAGAAGCCGTTGAGCAGTAACGCGCATCCTCCCGAAGCTTGGCTCTACCCGGGGACAGGTCCAGCATCGCATCACCCGCCGCCGCAGAGAGCCATGACGTCACCCGGCAGCAGGCACAGAAGTCCTGCAGCATACAGGCTCTGCTGCCCAGGTGCCTTAATCCTGCTGCTTTCAAACCACCTCTCCCATCCGTTTTTCAAGTGCAGCTGCCCACAAAACAGGACACAGGTGAGGTTTTTGGGGTTTAGCAATTTAGGGCTCTACTGCAAGATTTCATTCTCCCCCACCAGCTCCCCTGAAGCCTCCACTACATTATTTCAGGAAGAAAAGACAGATGCTGACACTCAGTGACTCACAGACACTAAGCCTGTTCTTTCCAACATTATTTTTAGCTCATCAGATCTCCATATTTAGTTCCCACTACCAGATCCTAAACAATAATTCAGAGGTAGTTAATGGCTTAAGTGCTTTCAAAGCACCTAAAATGCTCCGAACTACCCTGTGAGGCCGCACGCTTCCTATCAGTAGCTTAGGCTTGAAGGTTAGGTCATGCTGCTTTTTTTTTTTTTCCCCCCTTAAGGGCAGAATTCTAAATAAACTGAGTCTTACTCCACATCTTCATGGAGCAGACACAGAGAAGGCGGCACAGACAGTACCATCCATTCTTATGCCTTCAGCCACGTCCCTGGCATGAGCCATGCCCTGCAGGTGCAGGGCTGAAGAGCAGCAAAGTGACATTGCTGCCCGCTCCTTCGGAGTTCTCCGGTCACGGAGGGGACAGTCTGGCCCCAGACTATCATCTCAAACTACGTAAGGGGCTAACAAAACTGTATCCTAAGTTGGCAATTACATAGGAAGGTGATTTCACAGGTTCACGCTGCTTAAACCTCAATCGCCTTAAAGGTTATTGTGTGCAATTAAGGAAAGGCGTACCGAGAAGAAAAAGGCCCAAGTAAGAGATCTTGTGGCAATTAACCTCATCAACCTCAAAAAGATGTGCTTGCTTCTAGTTAGGTTATCGTGGCCTCAGCTCCCTTTCCCTGCCCCTATCTTTGCAGCCGTCTTCAGTGGCACCTGGGGTCACGCTGCTTGCCCCTTGCTCCTGCTCGCTTTCTCACCGACTGGCTCTGTAATGCATCCAGCTCCTGAAAAAATTCATTTAAAAAAAAGCAAGTCACTTCCTGCTAAAATGCTCTAATCAGAACCAGCCTATTGTCTTCAGCCTCAGCCTTTGAGTCCCTTCCTTTAATCACTTCTCCTCCTTTTCCTCCTGCCTGCAATTCTGTTCGATACCTTCCTTCCTTCTGCCCTCATTGGTATTCAGCTGGCGTACAGAAATATGGTACTGCTCTAGGCAAGCAATTATATCTCAATCTCCACTGGCTGGTCCTAGTGGCCCTCTTCCCCTGCTCAGGGGGCTAGAAAACCGAGGCATTCATATTCCGCCCAGAGGCTCCATCTACTCCTCACCTGCCAGTTTTTCAGTAGCAATGCATAGCTGTGCATATGCATGATGATGTCAGCGCCTATTGAAGCAGGAACTGTTTCATCCTGGGTTATTTCTTTGTTTAACGATGTGCTAAAAACCACCAAAAACCGTTAGAAAGAGATAGTCTCAGGAGGACAGAAGCTCTCCCGACACCTGGTAGATCTCAACCTCTCCAAGATCAAGTCTTCAACATCCCATGGAGTGCAGCAACCCTTTGGAGCACAACTGCCGGTCCACCCAGCAAGAGGTGGATGAAGGACTTTTCTACTCGATGCTCCAAATGGCTCCACCACGTAGCAACTTCCTAAGCTACAGTTATTCAAAGCAGCACGTGCAGGACAAAACACCGTCGGCGCAAAACTCGACATGTAAAGTTGCAGGTGCAGCTTTACTCTCCCGGCCGATGGGCAGATTTCAATACGCGTTCACATTAGCACGCCTGCAACGTGGAGGTGTTCAGCTACGTCAGAGGCTATTCGAGTTCGCAGTGCTCTGCCACCTCCACTTGCTGCAAAGCCGATGGGAAGCAGCGTACCACAAGGGCTATGTGCAACCTTCACCACAGAATTTCCATTAGCATCCCCAGTTTACCCTATAAAAGGCAACTCCAGTAGATACTCTGCACAAAGGCATCTACAAATTGCCCCAGAAGGTCAGCTAGATAAATCATGGAAGGTTTCCACCTTTGAGCTGAAGCTGTGCATGGCCACAGTCCCAGAAACCAGCCGAAGGCACTTGCACGAGCAGAATTTACTGCCTGCAAAAATTGCTGATAGACAATATCTTGGGTCCCAAACCCAGCCTGGGGGACACAGTATCTGGCTAGCATTCTGCGAGAGTAATACTCTGCAGAAATTATAGCCCCTCCTAAACACAGGCAAGAGAAAGGTTGCTTTCCATCAAAGATAGACAGCAAATACTATCCTGAACGCTGTTAATATTGACTTTACTTCCAAAGAATACTATCTGTTTACCCTGCTGAATTATTCTGGGGAATGTAAACACTATATAGTATTCAACACAGCAAAAATCAATGCCATGTATTATTGAAGATCTGGATAAGAGCACAATGGCCCTCGATAAGCACTCCTGGCGTGTCAGCCGCTGCAGCTGGCTGTGGTTTCTGCTGATGGTGAAAGCTGTGATAAAAGCTGTAAGAAGCATGAGGTTATCAGGAAACACAGTCAGGTAAGCCCTGCTACGAGACACAACCGACCCAGCCAGAGCATCCAGCCTCCAGCATCAATTAAAAACCTCTTGGTCAGGGCGTGCCAAATTCAGTCGTCTTTGATGACCAGCCTTTCAATCACAGATTTAAGCAGAACCAAACAAAAAATATATGCATTTACAGCGTCCTAGTCAAGCAGAGACACTACAGAGTACCAAGCATGCGCCTTCTGCCAGCCCAGGTTAGCCTGGGGATGACACGTGCCCATTAACTCCATCCCAGCACACAATGGGAGGGGGGTGACAGCCAGAAGTGACTTATCTACACAAGAACTGCCATCACCAATGACATCCCAAAGCATCTGTCTAACACCTTACCGCCTGAAGTGCGGGATTGCTGCTCCCTCAGTAATGATGCATCTCGATGAGAGAATAGCAGCAGCATTGCCTTTCCGCCCAGCCAGCACGTACCACTATTTAATACCGATCAATGGCACAGCCACGACATGACAGTGGACTTAACGCAGTAAAAAGGCAAATAACCCGGAGGAGCACATGGAGGACTCGTCATCGTGCACCGATGGGCTTTGTCAAATACCAACCATTTCGTATGAACAACCTTCCTGTTCGATTCTGCAAACCTCTGCTATAGCCTCCGGGCACAATTTAAAGCAAAGCAGCAAGATATAGCTCAGTGAAGAACTGTCAGGAGGCAACATCTCCTTTCTTCTTCTAGCTAGATTCTACATTTGTAGAGCAGGGAAATCCCCAAATCGTGTTTTGACTAAAAATACTTCGCGGGTTTGTATTGAGTTTATAGGACGATACGGCTGTGTTTAATTTCAAGACATTGCAGCAATCTCATTGCTTGTATCTCACAAACAGAAGAATGGGATTTAATTGCAAACAGGAGGAAGCACATCAGTCACAACTGAAATTGGATCTGATTCTTCTGGT